CGTGATTTTAATCTCTTGTTCCCTCTCGTCCCCCACCATCGTCACCTGTTCTGCCTCCTCTGTCGTCCATTGGTTCGTCTCCTTGTTCCCTCTCGTCCACCATCGTCACCTGTTCTGCCTCCTCTGTCGTCCATTGGTTCGTCTCCTTGTTCCCTCTCGTCCCCACCATCGTCACCTGTTTCTGCCTCCTCTGTCGTCCATTGGTTCGTCTCATTGTTCCTCTCTCGTCCTTACCATCATCACCTGTTCTGCCTCCTCTGTCGTCCGTTGGTTCGTCTCCTTGTTTCTCGTCCCCATCGTCACCTGTTCTGCCTCCTCTGTCGTCCATTGTGATTGTCTCTTGTTCCTCTCGTCCTTACCTTCAAGCCACTAGGAGGTGGAAAAGGACTGTAATTTCTTGATTCTATTTTACCAGTTCAGGTACAGACTCGCACAGGTGACAGGTACAGCGTGGAGTGACAGGTACAAAGCTGAGTGACAGGTACAACACAGGTGACAGGTACAAGCACAGGTGTGCAAGTGCAAGCCTGGGTGTGGGTGCAGCACAGGTGACAGGTGCAAGCACAGGTGACAGGTGTGCAAGCTGGGTGACGGAATTGCGGCGCAGGTGTACAGGTAAGCACCAGGTGTGGGTGTGCAAGGTGTGGTGCAGCCCATTGACAGGTACAAGCACAGGTGATGGAATTGTCGCTGGGTGTGGTACAAGCACAGGTGACAGGTACAAACTGGGTACAGGTGGACAAGCAGTGTGCATCAGTGGGTCATGTCATCCTTTACAACACATATTTACTACTTTCAGTCATATGGGGTGAGGTGTGTGAGGTGAGAATTTGTGGTGAGGTGAGGTGTGTGAGGTGAGGGAGTGTGTGGGGTGAGGGTGTGTGTGGGGTGAGGTGTGTGGGGTGAGGGTGTGTGTGTGGTGGGGTGTGTGTGGGGTGGGGAGTGTGTGTGGGGTGGGGGTGTGTGGGGTGGGGGTGTGTGTGGGGTGAGGGGTGTGAGGGTGGGGTGTGTGTGGGGTGAGGGGTGTGTGGGGTGAGGGGGTGTGTGTGGGGGAGGGGGGGTGTGTGGGGTGGGGGGTGTGTGGTGGGGTGTGTGTGTGGGTGAGGGGGTGTGTGTGGGGTGAGGGGAGTGTGTGGGGTGGGGGTGTGTGTGGGGTGAGGGGGGTGTGGGGTGGGGGTGTATAAGTGTAGAAAGTTGAAGCTTATTACCAGGTTGTTGGTAGTGAGTGGCGCGTCTCTGTTAAAACAAGGTTGTGTAGCACTGAAGTAGTGTTGTGCTTTAATAGATCTACTGTTGGGAGTAGTGGTGGTGGTGGTAGTGGTGGTGATAGATGGTAGATGGTGGTAGGTGGTGGTAGATGGTGGTGGTGGTAGGTGGTGGGAGGGGTGGTAAGTGGTGGTGGTAGTGGTGGGTGTGGTGGTGGTAGGTGGTAGATGGTGGTGGTCGTAGCTAATGGGTACGGTATGATAGTCAGTACTTTAATAGTCGTTTCTTATGGGTAATTTGTAATAGGTAGATAATGCAGGACATAATGGTCATACCTAATTGGCCACAGAACATACCGGTCGAATCTAATAGTAAGTATTTAATGGGTTGTATGAAATGGTTCTCTTCAGCCTTATAGAACGTAATAGAACTAGCACATCAATAGTCGTTACTAAAGGGGAGTGGGTGGTTAGTTGCTAATGGTTAAGTCTGATTGGTTGACTATCGCTTGATAGAATATAATGGTCGATTCTAATGGTTATTGTTCACAAGGCAGCAGTAACGTCTCTCTAACCCATTAAAAGTTTATTAGCCATTACACCTCTTTAATTAATGGCAGGCTCTGATTGGTCGGTTGATCAAGGGGGCAGTGACTAATGGTTGCGTTGTAATAAGCGTGTATGGGGAGTTTTCAAAGCCATTAGTGGGTAATGGACCCTCTCTAATGGGCAGTGCCAAAGGGGCGTGTCTAATATAAAGGGGCGGGACCTATAGCTTACTAGAATGGCCATTGGTCACTTAATTTCGGTAAAAAAAACACAACCTGGCAACTGTTCAGATGTTTTTTTTCCGTGTAGAGAGAGAGAGAGAGGGGGAGAAAGAGAGAGAGAGGGGGAGAAAGAGAGAGAGAGGGGGAGAAAGAGAGAGAAAGAGACGGGAGGAAAGAGAAAGACAGAGGGAGAGAGAAAAGGGAAGAGGAAGAGAGTGAAAGAGGGGGGAAACAGAGAGAAGGTAGGAGAAAATGCAAGAGAAAGAGAATGAGAAACAAAATAAGAGAGATAGAGAAAGAGTGAGAAACAATGGAATAAAAAAGAAAAAAGATACATGAATGTGAATAAGGAATGAGAAAGAATAGAAATAAATGAATAAATAGAGAGGTGAATTAAAAGAGAAAGAGAGATTAAGGGAGAGAGAAGGAGAGAGAGAGAGAGAGAGAGAGAGAGAGTACGGGTGAGGGTTGGCAAGTTACCAGGAAGGAGAGACAGCGAAGACCGGAAACAGATTATTGTTATGTTGAGAAAAATCCAATTATCTAGCTGTGACATTTACCTCTCACTTTATTTACGTCTGAATAATAGATAAATATTCCTCAATACTTATCCTCAAGATGCAACTAAGATAGGAAATATTTATCTTTACTCTTATGGATAAAAAAGTGTATTTGAGAAGTCTATTGGATTCCCGTAGTTTATATTCAGTGCTGGAAATGATGAGACTCGTTCATATTCTCTAGGATATCGTATAGACTTGTTGACACTCGGCGCCTCTGCTTACTTAAAGGCTCGAAGGAGGTTTTGTTTGGATGTTTCAGGATAAGGAAATGGCCTCTTGTTTTCTCGACTGTTAGTTGAATGTTAAGGATTCCTCGTATGGGTTAAGTTTGAGATAAGTGTGATTTGATTTCAACTCTGAAACTGAACTGATTGTAGACTGTCTGAGTGAATCATATTAGGTGTTTATTGACGTCTTTTTCTGACTGTTAACTGTTAAATAGTGAGTCATTATAAACGCGTCACATAGCCACTTAATGATCTTTCATGACTTCAGTGATTCAGGTTTATCGTACAGTAAGATGAAGTCACTCAGGGTTGATGTAACTTTTCCCTGGAGACCTCGAGTCGACAACCCAACCCAACCCAACCTAACCCAACCCAACCCAACCCAACCAGGTAGAGTTAAGGTATTTTCTGACCACGTGAGATAAGCTTGAGTGTCTAATCTTCAAGTGGTCCCTTCGTGTTGATATGGGCTTTGTTAGACGGAGCTTTGAGCCATAAAAAAGATCTTTGTGGGCGAGTCAGTTAAAAGTTAGCGATGAAGTGTTAAGGCTCAAGGAAGTCTCACGCCAGCCAGGGATTGTATTTAACTTGTAGATATAATAATGAAGTTAATAATCTATTGTTATGATCTGTAAGTTAAATTGGGGTCATTGTTCCTCACTGAAAGAAAGTAGCTTCGTATGTTAGAGTAAGGTAGTTTAGATTAAGTTGGGTTAGGTTAAGCTGGATTAGATTACTACAGGTTAGGTTAGGTTAGACTAGTTTAGGTTGGGTTAGGATGAGTTTGGTTAGATTATGTAAGGTTGGAATAGGTTACGTTAGACTAGACTTCGTTAGGTTAGGTTAGATTTGGTTGGATTAAATCAGATTAGGATAAAGTTAGTATTTCTGACTATAATTCAGAGGCTCTGGGGAAGTGAGGGCGACCAGTGTGGGTGTGGAGGCGTCGAGACCTTACAAATCAGGTTTAAAATGAGAATCAATATTTACCTTCGTCTCTACCTCTAAAGTTAACGGTGGTAGTCTGTGAGATCCTGTAGGGGAGTGAGGGAGGGGGTGAGGGAGGGGGAAGGTGAAGGGGAAGGAGGCAGGTGAGAGAGTGAATTCAGGTAATTTAGGTTTAGGGAGAGAAGGGTCGCCCAGGTAAGGTAGTGAGGGGTACAGCAGGTGAGGTAGGGTGGGTGAGGGGTACAGTAGGTGAGGTAGGGTAGGTGAGGGGTACAGTAGGTGAGGTAAAGGGGGTCGAAGGGTACAGCAGGTAAGGTAGGGTAGGTGAGGGGTACAGCAGGTGAAGTAATGGGGGGGGGGTGAGACTGTTTCAGGTGTGAGCAGTAATCCTGTATCACCAAATGGAAAAAATGTGTTGGTCTACGGGCGGCCGATAGTGACTGTGGAAGGGGGAGCAGAATAGTGAAGGAGGGATATGAGAAGGGTGGAAGGGGGAGAAGAATAGTGAAGGAGAGAGACGGGACGAACAGATGGACGAACGGAGGGACGAATAGTTAAGACAGATTGACAGAGGAACAGGACATATCTCTATCCACCTCCTCCAGGCCTAAAAGGTCTCCTGGTGGCGTAAAAATCGTGTGAATACGAGAAAAAAAGAAGTGGCAGGGAGGTTAGGGTGTCTCAGAGGGTGATTTGTGTACGAGGTTCGACCCCCCGTACCCTCGACCCTCACCCCCCTCACTCAAGCCCCTACTTATACCACCTTCCTCTCCCCCAACCTTCCTTCTACCCCTCTTCCTCCCCCCTCTCTCTCTCTCTCTCTCGCAGTTTAGGCTTAGGTTGTTACCACTATTTAGGAACTTCTACTACATTAACTGTGATGGTAGGAGATGTGTCTGTGTGTGGTGACTCTCTCTCTTTCTCTCTCTCTCTCACTCTCTCTCTCCACTCCCCTTATTCTTCATCACTCCCTTCATACTCACCCCTCTCCCCTCCTCTTCACGCCCTCCACACTCACACTTCTCCCCTCACCCCTCCCTTCCCCTCACCTCCCCTCCCAACATGACCCTCTTAGCTCGGTGAGACATCATAAGCTGCCTACAGAAGTCTTTCGGTGGGTCGGGTTAAGAGGGACGAGGTGGTGGTTGTGGTGAGGGTAGTGGAGTTTGTGGTGATGGTGGTGGTGGTAATGAAGATGGTGGTGATGGTGGTAGTCATCTCTCTCTCTCTCTCTCTCTCTCTCTCTCTCTCTCTCTCTCTCTCTCTCTCTCTCTCGTGCGTGTTTACTCATATGTGTTAACGTTGTTCATTCCAACAAATAGATGTGGGGTTTTTGTGTGTGTGGTTCCTCATAATAAATGTGTTTTATAATATTTACCTATGCGTAACATTTCAGTTTTCTCACCATACGCACGTGGGTGGTGACGTTTTTAACTAGTTTACGCACTCCTTATACGCTCTTGACATTTCTTGTAGTACTCAGATCTACATTTTCTGGGTGTTTATATAGGGGAGAGTACACGTTTCCCATATGCTCCTTGATATACGCAAATGTATACAAATGCCTTTTCTTGCAACTTTTTAGTATACGCAACTGATATATGCACACGTACAACCATCATTGTAACTTCGTGGTAGACGCACATGTACTTCCTACCATGCATACATAATTTCTACGCACTGCCCCGCTTCTTGCTGGTATACTGTATACACACACATGTGTACGCGCCTTTCTGTGCCACTTCCTGGTATACGTACACACATACGCCCCTCACGTGCGTGTGTAGGGGTGTGTGAGGAGGTGTGTAGAGTCAGCTGGGGTTTACTGGCTTAAGGGGAAACCTTTCATTGACCTGTAATTGGGTAAGGAATGTTCTTACTGTGTCACGTCTTCCCGCGTCCCCACACCCTGTGACCATTACCTTCACCCCCTCCCCTCCCCCGCCTCACACCCAGTACTTGGTGCACCAATACAAGAAAAAATGGATGGTGTTGTGTTACAGAATGTGTTTCTCTTTTCAACTTGTTTTTTTTACGTAACAGCGCAGGAATATATATTGTACTGGTGACGGACTACCAAATTGTACTCTTAAGTGTTACGGTTGTTATTGTATGTGAACCCAAGGTGTAGTGAGTGAGGCTGGCGAGCTCATGTTGCTAGGGCGGCGCTCTGCTGCTGCTGTTGGCTCGCTGCTCTCTACTGCTGCCTCGAACTGTACTGGCGTATCAGGCGGCAGATGGCGCGCCTGAGGGAGCCACCTGCCAGAGCCTGGTGGTGGAAGGTGGTGGTGGCAGCTTCAGCCAGCAGCAGGTCTTGAGGTGTAGTAACTCTCTGATGGAAGGTTCATGAGACGCAGCGAATCGCTCATCAGCTTTAAGCACACGCGGGCGGTGTTAGAAGCGTGGACGTGTTGTGGCGGTGCGCGTGGTGGTGTGCGCGGCGCGGGGGACACCACACTGCTGTCTTCCAGGCCCTCCCCCACGCCCCCCAGCCATGCCCGTCGATCCCGCCCACCACCGCCTCCTTCATGGGCGGGGGACACGCTCATTCTCCAACTTCACCCGATACACACAGCTTTCGTCGACGGAGGAGAGCGGTAGTACTGGTTCGACTCCGAGTAACAGTCCTAGCGTGACGCCCGGCAGCCGCGCGCCACGTGGTGTCAACACTGAGGTGCGGCTCTCGGAGGGAGGCCGCCCAGCCGTCCACGTGAGACAGCAGGGTGGACGCTCGCCCGTAGCTCGCCCTTGTCACAGGCTACGCAACGCCAACACGGGTCCGGGCCAGACCCGCTACACCAAGCTCGGCTCAGTAAGTGAGGAGGGACCTTCAGGGGGCCCGCGGAACGGAGGTAGTGGGATACTGCGCGCTGTCACCTCCCGCGGCCGTGGCTATGAGGACCTCCGGTGTCGGGGCGCTGGAGGGGATGCCCCGGATAGTGGTGACAGCTCCGCCCACTCCTCCCCGCGGGGCTCACCTCCAAATGGACGCAAGAAGACCTCCGGCATCCTCATAACTTCCGCTCTTGCTCGCTCAGGCATCAAGCGGCTCTCCAGGCAAGTATGAGTTAAGCTCTTGGCGGGTGATTGAGCCAGCAGGAGGCAGTACCTGGAGGTTAATTAACAGAACCTGGCGCGTTAATTGTCATTCATTCCTTACCTGTGTTGTGTAAGTTATTGTTTTCAGGAGCAGCAGCGATGATCCAGCCATCCCATGTAACCACACAGACTCTTTAGCCATACATTATGTAACCACCCCCTCAACCAGCCACACCACCAGCACCACACCCTCTTTAGCCACGTCTTTCTCGAGCCACACTCATTCTTTTGTGGCACATTTAGTAACAATTAACAACAGTCCTGAGACCACACACACACACACACACACACACACACACACACACACACACACACACACACACACACACACACAAGCCATTCACCCTCCCACTGTACACCACACCTCATCCAGCTCCTCCACACTACCTCCTACCACACCTCCTCCACACTACCTCCTGCCACATCACATCCAATCCATCACCCATCAAACCCCTCTAAACTCATCCATTTGAAACTCATCCAACCACAGCCTTCACATCCATATTTGCACTGTTACCTTGTCAACCACATCACCACCCTCTTCAACCACAATCCACCCCCTCCAAACCACAATCCACCCCCTCCAACCACATCACCACCCTCTTCAACCACAATCCACCCCCTCCAACCACAGCCCACTCCCTCCAACTACATCACCACCCTCTTCAACCACAATCCACCCCCTCCAAACACACACTACCTTCAAACACACACTACCCCCTCCAAACACACTCCCTCTTACCCTCCAAACCACAGCCCATCCATCAGACCCCTCCTACCGCACCCCTGCAAGCCACATGTTGTCACTAACCACACTACACACATCTATCACACTATCATCATAATTAACCACTCCATACCACCACCGTCTGCCACACCATCACCAACCACACCATATTAAAACTAACCATACACCACATCCCATCTACTACACTAAACACTACATGAGACACACACACACACACACACACACACACACACACACACACACACACACACACACACACACACACACACACACACACACACACTTAATTTTACCACACCACAAATCTCACGATACTGTCAACCAGCACTTACTTTTGATTCCTGACAAATCCCCAGGTATATGAACGTGTGTGTGAGTGTGTGTGTGTTAGTGTGAGTGAGTGAGTTAGTGAGTGAATGAGTTAGTTCCTCTCTCTAGGGGTGGTGACGTCAACAGGTAAAGGTGTTCGTCTCACCTGTTATCTCACACGTTCATCACCTGTGTTGATATAAGTGATGACGTGTTGTTGATGTGCATATGTTAGGTTAGGTTAGGTTAGGTTAGGTTAGTTATGGTATGGTTAGGTTAGGTTAGGTTAGGTTAGGTTAGTTATGGTATGGTTAGGTTAGGTTAGGTTAGGTTAGTTATGGTATGGTTAGGTTAGGTTAGGTTAGGCTAGGTTAGTTATGGTATGGTTAGGTTAGGTTAGGTTAGTTATGGTTTATTGATGTAATTTTTTTTATTATTGTGATTATTATTATTAGTAGTAGTAGTAGTATTTTATTAGTAGTAGTATTATTAGTAGTAAATTAATGTTACTATTTTTATATCATCATTATTATCTGAGGTTATGCCAGTAAGAGTATATCCAGTGTGTCGTGTTGTGGCCACTGACCTCAGCTCCCCGTAACACTGATCATTTGGCCACGAAAACAAAGACAAACCTTGAATTCGATTTTTTTTAGTTGGTACTCAAAGATAATTAATGTTGTTGTTTTTGTTATTTTAGTGACTTGTGTTCAGTTGTGTTTTTTCTCATTTGTGAGGGGAATAAGAAGGTTCAATAGAGATCTTCTAATTAGTTTGTTTGTCCCGGTTTGTGTAGTATAGTTAAAGTTAGTGGTGGTGGTTGTGGTTGTGGTGGTGGTGGTGATGGGGGTGGTGATGATGGTGATGATGGTAGTGGTGAATGTGATGGTAGTGGGGGGGGGAGGACATTTCGCCACCACCATTAGGTTTTCTTCCTACGATCACATGAAGATTAAGCACCCTCTAACTTAACCTAATTTAATCCAGCTTAACCTAACCTAATCCAACCTAACGTAACCTAACTTAACACTCCCTGGTAACGTTAAGCTGTTAAATCATCAGGTAGAATAAGCTGGGGTGTCTAATCTTCAGGTCATCTAATGTTGTTTTTATTATAAGTAAAATAAAACTTTATTATTACACAGAATACAATAAAATTCCCCCAAAGTCAGCCCCCCATTAGTCAGCTCCCCCCCCCCATTAGTCAGCCCTCCCTACTAGTCAGCTCCCTCCACTAGTCAGCTGTCCCCACTAGTCAGCTCCCCACTAGTCAGCTCCCTCCCACTAGTCAGCTCCCCACTAGTCAGCTCCCCCCCCACTAGTCAGCTCCTCCCACTAGTCAGCTCCCTCCCACTAGTCAGCTCCCCACTAGTCAGCTCCCATCCCATTAGTCAACTCCCTCCCACTAGTCAGCTCCCCTAGTCGGCTCCCCCCCACTAGTCAGCTCCCTCACTAGTCAGCTCCTCCCACTAGTCAGCTCCCCCACTGGTCAGCTCCCCCTAGTCAGTTCCCCCCACTAGTCAGCCCTCCCATTAGTCAGCTCCCCACTAGTCAGCCCTGCCCCCACTAGTCAGCCCTCCCCACTAGTCCAGCTCCCCACTAGTCGGCTCCCTCCCATAGTCAGCTCCCCCCACTGGTGGCTCACTCCTGGTCAGCTCCTCCACTAGTCAGCTCCCCACTAGTCAGCTCCCTCCACTAGTCAGCTCTCCCCACTAAGTCAGCTCCCCACTAGTCAGCTCCCCCGCTGGTCAGCTCCCCCCGCTGGTCAACCACTGATCAGCTCCCCACTAGTCAGCTCCCCTTCCACTGGTCAGCTCCCCTCCACTGGTCAGCTCCCCTCCACTAGTCAGCTCCCCTCCACTAGTCAGCTCCCCTCACTAAGTCAGCTCCCCCCTCACCCAGTCACCCCTCCCCTCAACAGTCCCCCCTCCCCCTTCAACAGTCATTAATACACCGCTGGTTAATTTGGTCTGGTATTTACCTTGAGGAGCGAGACCTGAACCTGTGTTTACCTGTCCATGGCCAATTAACCCCACCCCACTTCTCACTGCTGCTTCCACCACCACCACCGTCACTGTCAGTCCAGGGTCATATTGTACCACCATCATCACTATCATCATCACTACCAGTCTAGGGTTATGTAGTGCCACAACCATCATCATCATCATCATCATCATCACTGCCAGTCCAGGGCCATGTAGTGCCACCACCATCACTGCTGTAAAATGTAAACACAGCAGGTATATAATGTAAACACAACAGGTATATAATGTAAACACAACAGGTATATAATGTAAACACAACAGGTATATAATGTAAACAGTGGACATGAGGTAAGTGTCCCTAAGAGGCGATAAAGCAGATGATCCTTAACAAAGGTCGTCATTTACAATTCAGATACCAAGGTCACCTGAAGGTATTTTGGGTGGCACTCTTCCAGCCAGCCCTCACCTGGTGTGGCACTTTTCCAGCCCTCACCTGGTGTGGCACTCTTCCAGTCCTCACTTGGCATGGCACTCTTCCAGGTCTCACCTGGTATGGCACTCTTCCAGGTCTCACCTGGTGTGGCACTCTTCCAGGTCTCACCTGGTGTGGCACTCTTCCAGGTCTCACCTGGTGTGGCACTCTTCCAGGTCTCACCTGGTGTGGCACTCTTCAGGTCTCACCTGTGTGGCACTCTTCCAGCCCTCACCTACCGTGGCACTCTTCCAGCCCTCACACGAGTATGGCACTCTTCCAGTTTTCACCTGGTGTGGCACTCTTCCAGTCCTCACCTGGTTTGGCATTCTTCCAACTCTCACATCATGTGGCACTCTTCCAGCCCTCACTTGGCATGGCACTCTTCCAGGTCTCACCTGGTGTGGCACTCTTCCAGGTTTCACCTGGTGTGGCACTCTTCCAGCCCTCACCTACCGTGGCACTCTTCCAGCCCTCACCTGGTATGGCACTCTTCCAGTTTTCACCTGGCATGGCACTCTTCCAGTCCTCACCTGGTTTGGAATTCTTCCAACTCTCACATCGTGTGGCACTCTTCCAGCCCTCAGTTGACATGGCACTCTTCCAGCCCTCACTTGGCATGGCACTCTTCCAGGTCTCACCTGGTGTGGCACTCTTCAGGTTTCACCTGGTCTGGCACTCTTCAGCCTCACCTACCGTGGCACTCTTCCAGCCTCACCTGGTATGGCACTCTTCCAGTTTTCACCTGGCACTTGGCACTCTTCCAGTCCTCACCTGGTTTGGAATTCTTCCAACTCTCATCGTGTGGCCTCTTCCAGCCCTCAGTTGACATGGCACTCTTCAGCCCTCAGTTGACATGGCACTCTTCCAGCCCTCACTGGCACTCTTCAGCCCTCACCTGGTGTGGCATAACAAACCACATCCTCGTGCGGTACTCCTCGCTATCCCATGGTGTGGGGGATGGAAGGCGTGGTGGGGGGATGGAAGGCGTGGTCTGGGGATGGAAGGCGTGGTGGGGGGTGGAAGGCGTGGTCTGGGGATGGAAGGCGTGGTGAGGGGGATGGAAGGCGTGGTGGGATGGCGTGGTGGGGAATGGAAGGCGTGGGAGGTGGAGACGTCACAACAAATGAACTTGACCCCGTGGAGGTGACCTTCGACCTCCAGGTGTCAGCGGTGTCTGGCCAGGTGTATTGATTGACCAGGTGAGAGAGAGAGAGAGAGATCAGGTGATGCTTGGCACCTGGGATAGAGAGGGAGAGGAGGAGGAGGGAGGGAGGGAGGGAGAAGAGAAAGAGGAGGTGAAAAGGAGGGAGGTGAAGAATAGGAGGGGAAGAGGATAAATAGAAAGGAGCAATGGAGATGCTAATGAGAGACAGAGAGAGAGAGAAATAAAGAGAGAGGGAGATGGAAAGAGAGACATTCGCTGGGTGATAGAAGAGAAAGA